AACGCACCTTGCTTTTGGTGTCTTTTCTTTGCCATCGGTCCAGTACGAACACAGTGCAGCGAGTCATGTACCTTCGAATTATCCAGTCTGCTGCTAGCTGGTTGCAGCTTGGCCGGCCGTGCCACTTGAAAAAAAATACTACAGTACAGTACTACCTGCTACACTATACAGCTAATTTTCAAAGACTAGTGCATTTACAGTCAGTGCTCGATGTCGATTCTGGATTCGTTTCGTATCGGCGTTCCCTGTCGACTTCGAGCTTTGATCAAGTTCGATGACATAATGCATGACGTAGTGGGGAGAAAGGCGTACTTTCCCGATACCACCCTTGAATTTTTTGATTTTTCAGGCAGGCCAAAACAAGTTAGTTCGCCACACTGGCTCGATTTGATTGAAGTCTTTTTTCTTGCGTAGCACGCTTTGCACCATTAGTGTCTTCTGTTGGAGGAGAAAAGCTTAGGCAGTAGGTGGAGAAACCCAGCCCAGCTCTGGCAGACCCTTCAGAATCCGCGGATTGCTCGAACACAACTTCTCACAGGCGGTGACAAATTTGAATTCTATTCAACTGGTGAATTCGCAAGCTGAACTCTGCTGCTAAAGCAATTAGTTAGTCGCTCTGCAAGCAACTAGGTGCCCGTGGCATTTGTATTATTGATTATCTCTTGAAGTGAGCCCAGGGCCAGGGAGTGGGCAGGTGGCGGTACGCGGTGCGTTCCGTAATGTTCCGGCTCAAACTGCACAATGTCTGTCGCCCGGTAGTCTTCACAGCGACTCGAAGTCATGCAGGGATTGCATTGTCCAGGCCCAGGCCTGCTGCAGTGCGCACGCTCTGCCGCAAGCCGCCGGTGGCCTCGCGACCCCACCGCCGGAGCTTCCAGACCAGCGGGCGGCGAGCTGCTCCCATTCCACTAGGCCTGCTGGCAGCGGTGTCTTTGCGAGCACCAGCCATCATTGCGACGCGAGTGATACGGCGCTACCTGTGGCCATGGCTCAAGCCGGAGACGCGCGCCATCCTGAGTCGGCAGCTGGTGATCGCCGGGCTTCTGTCGTACGTCGGACTGGCTGGCTATGCGGCGTCGCATACTGATATCGTCAATGGCCGTCGACGGTGAGCGAGTGGAGTCCCCGGGGTGGCTTGAATAATTAGTATAATCGTGTTTTCCGGAGTATAAGCCGCACTTTAAACACTTCTAATCAACCCAAAAAGGTCAGAGCGGCTTATACCACGTTGGTCAAATGAGCCGTGATATACAGGGTAGGTGTCGCATTCCGTGACAACACATCTGTAGGTGCAGCTTAAGTTATACTCCGGAGAACACGTTACATTTACACTCACACGTCGTTTATTCGGGCGGTCCGGGACCGGGCACTGCCCGTGACTTTGAAATGTCCGCAACTCTGAATCACATACGTTTTGGTGGGAAACGGCAAGAGATATGGCATGTGATGTCACTCTCTACCACCTCTCTCTCTCTCTCTCTCTCTCTCTCTCTCTCTCTCTCTCTCTCTCTCTCTCTCTCTCTCTCTCTCTCTCTCTCTCTCTCTCTCTCTCTCTCTCTCTCTCTCTCTCTCTTTCTCTCTTTCTCTATCTATCTCTCTCTCCCTCCCTCTCCCTCTTCCTCTCCCCTCTCTCTCTCTCTCTCTCTCTCTCTCTCTCTCTCTCTCTCTCTCTCTCTCTCTCTCTCTCTTTTTTTTCTCCATCTATCTATCTCTATCTCTCTCTCTCTATCTCTATCTCTCTCCCTCCCTCCCTCCCTCCCTCTCCCTCTTCCTCCCTCTTCCTCTCTCTCTCTCTCTCTCTCTCTCTCTCTCTCTCTCTCTCTCTCTCTCTCTCTCTCTCTCTCTCTCTCTCTCTCTCCTCTCTCTCTCCCTCCCCCACTTGTACAGGGTACTGTGGCTTACCGAGTCAGAAAAGCTGTTCCTGGACACCGCAGCACGCGAGGGCATTCTGCAGTCGATTCAAGAAGATGCCAATGCTGTTATTCTGCCCAACAACCATCGGCTGTACAAGAAAGTCTCCCGTGTCATGGTGCAACTCGTCAAGGCTAATCCATGTGCCCAGCAAGTCGACTGGGAGCTGGCCGTGGTTGATTCACCCGTGAAGAACGCCGTGTCTTTCCCGGTATGGTGGCCCTGTGCCAGTTACCTTTGCAATGTGAACAGAATGTCATACAGTCAACTTTGCTAATAATGACTGCGGATATAACGACTATTCGTGAATAACGACAGAATTTCCATGCCCAGAGCAAAGTCCCATCTAATGCCATGAGACTTCGCGAGTAAGGACACTTTTTCTGATGCCCCGCCGAGTGTCGTTATACGCAAAGTTGACTGTACTCATGTGTGTCCATGTGTGTGTATGTCCATGGATGCATGCACATGCACATACACACACACACATATGCACATACACACACCCACACATGCACATGCACACACACACACACACACACACACACACACACACACACACACACACACACTTGCATGCACGCATTCGCAGAGTGTAAGAGAGCACAGAAAGAAGAGGAAGCGTCTCTTTTGGAACATTTGGCATGATCACTTTGTATGGGTGTCTTCTTCTTCTTTTTCTTCTTCTTCTTAGTTGGACGTCCTTAAAATCAAGATTTGAACTCGCCATTCCGGCCTCTAAAGGGCCGGGGGTGGACGATCGCCAACCTTGCCAACCTCTCGTAGTCACTTGTTCTTGTCGAATCGTTATTTTCATAGCCTTCTCGACATTCGCCCTACAAATTACCATACATCACAACGCAACTACCTGTACATGACACACCATACCATACGGACACAACCACACCCCAACTGTACTGGGGGCCTATCTCTTCGAATTGCATTATATGAGTTTCTTTTTCCTTTTTTCTTTACCCGTTACTGTCTAAAAAGCAGTCGAAACGGTTTTTATCCACCATTTGATGGTGAGCATTTCCCTTCTTCTTCTTCTTCTTCTTCTTCTTCTTCTTCTTCTTCTTCTTCTTCTTCTTCTTCTTCTTCTTCTTCTTCTTCTTCTTCTTCTTCTTCTTCTTCTTCTTCTTCTTCTTCTTCTTCTTCTTCTTCTTCTTCTTCTTCTTCTTCTTCTTCTTCTTCTTCGTACTGAAATGCATAGTAAAACTAGTAAACGAAACCATCCAAACTTATCAAAAGGCCACAGCATCAGCAGAAACGCAGAGTAAACAGAAGAGAATTGATTACATAACTTTCTGCAAGGCAGGAGAGAATCTCCCCAAACAGCCCCCCTCCCAACGCAAACGGCTAAATGACCAATTCGTAACTAGCTCAGCAGACTGGCAGGTCCTGGTGGACATGAAGGATGAGAAACTTGTTTTCCCCCACTTCATAGCACCTACAACCTGTCGTCCAGACATAGTGCTCTTCTCCAAAGAATTGAGAAGAGTTCTGTGGCTGGAACTCACGGTATGTAGTGAAGATCGCTTTGCACAATCGCGCGAAATCAAAATCGAACGCTATCGTCACCTTCATAGCGCGTGTGTAAGGAATGGCTGGGATACGGAAAGTCACACAGCAGAGGTGGGAGCGAGAGGCGCCATATCCACCAGCTTGGATTCCTTCGCGAGATCCTTGCGCTGCACTAAGGAACAGCGCAGGCTCTTGCGGAGGAATTGTCGCCAAGCAGCGCTGAACTCAAGCTATGTCCTATGGCTAAGGCGAAGGGAGCGAACATGGCGCGACTGGCCGTTGTATTAAAACTGTTTGGTGAACCTGTTGTAGAGCACTTGGTGGGCGATCGGCCACCCAGCGAGGATAGTTGGACGTCCTTAAAATCAAGATTTGAACTCGCCATTCCGGCCTCTAAAGGGCCGGGGGTGGACGATCGCCAACCTTGCCAACCTCTCGTAGTCACTTGTTCTTGTCGAATCGTTATTTTCATAGCCTTCTCGACATTCGCCCTACAAATTACCATACATCACAACGCAACTACCTGTACATGACACACCATACCATACGGACACAACCACACCCCAACTGTACTGGGGGCCTATCTCTTCGAATTGCATTATATGAGTTTCTTTTTCCTTTTTTCTTTACCCGTTACTGTCTAAAAAGCAGTCGAAACGGTTTTTATCCACCATTTGATGGTGAGCATTTCCCTTCTGTGTGTGTGTGCGCGTGTGTGTGTGTGTGTGTTTGTGCCTGTGTGTTTGTCTGTCTATGTGCCTGTGTGTGTGTGTGTCTATGTGCCTGTGTGTGTGTCTGTCTATGTATACTGATGTAATACTGTACTGTTTTGAACAGGGTGGCACCGTCGTGGTCTACACCGGCATACTGGATGTCACAAAGGATCGCAATGACCTGGCGGTGCTGCTGGGTCACGAGATGGCACACACTGTTCTAAGACATCAGGTAATCTACTACTGCTAGCCATTACGTACACACGTACACGTACAGCGCTAGCTCAATGAGATCCAGTCGCGTCACTTTTAAACATTTGCACCTTGCATCGTTACGCAGGCCAGTGTTCGCAGGTCTAGGGTTGTGCAATGCCCGGCATGGCGTGCTTGAGTGACCCGACTGGATTTCATTGAGCACTGCTGTACTACAGTAATAGTGATGTGTTCTTAGCTATTACTGTAAATATACAAATTTTCGGCAGCTATTTAATTTCGGCTATATTCGGCACCGACCCAAAACGCCTAAATTAAAACGCCGATGAAATTTTTCACAGCATCTGTCGCACTATACCATGCCCTCTACCCCACGCCGAAAATAAATCGCCGCCGAAATGTCAAACATCGTGAAGTGCCGAAATTTTGCAGCGCCGAAATTTTGTATATTTACAGTAGGTGGTGTATTGTTGGCCATTAATGTGTTTTAAAATAGCAGTAAAGAGAACTAGTTCTGCTGTCATCGCCTTACAAGAACGAAGTCATGAACGTTTTCCAAAATCGATTTTTATGTCACATTCATCAGTCGATTATTTTCATTAATGTGTTCTTAGCTATTAGGTGGTGTATTGTTAGCCATTAGGTAATGCATTTTTAGCCAGTAGGTAATGTGTTCTTAGACATTAGGTAATGCATTTTAGCCATGATGTAATGTGTTCTTAGACATTAGGTAATGCATTTTAGCCATAATGTAATGTGTTCTTAGACATTAGGTAATGCATTTTAGCCATGATGTAATGTGTTCTTAGACATTAGGTAATGCATTTTAGCCATGATGTAATGTGTTCTTAGACATAAGGAAAGGATTTTTAGCCATGATGTAATGTGTTCTTAGACATTAGGTAATGCATTTTAGCCATGACGTAATGTGTTCTTAGACATTAGGTAATGCATTTTAGCCATGATGTAATGTGTTCTTAGACATTAGGTAATGCATTTTAGCCATGATGTAATGTGTTCTTAGACATTAGGTAATGCATTTTAGTAGGGGTCAAACGGGTGTACCTTTAACTAACGAACGGGTAATTTTCTTAACGGCCGGGTTAACGGGTACCCTTTAGCAGCCATGTATAATTTTTTGTGCAATTTTCACGTAAATCAAGAGTTTAATTCATCTGTTCTCGGGTTGCATTTTGATATCACATTGTGATTCGCAAATCGATTGGGGTCTGATAGTCGCAGGAGTAGATCTACTAGGTGCGAAAATGCAACAACAATGCAGACATCAAGCATGAAGCTGTAAATAATTGACTCCCGCCTGGAATTAGGCTTTTAGGGTTTTACGTCGGGCCCTAGACGACGGCTACTTTGGCCAACCGGACAACGAAGAAGTTGTGACCAAAGAGAATGATTTTATTTCTTGCACATGCGTTTGTAGAATGACGTAATTGAGTGAGTCAGGTCGCTACAGTACTCCCCCGCCAGTGGTGAGGTCGGGAGGAGCGAAGCACGATAAACAAGAAACAAGAAAGAGAAGAGAAAGGAAAGCGCAGCATGTACAAGGCGGAACGGCAAAAATATAATAATATGATACAACATATGTACAGGCGAGAGCGCTGCGTGTATGAAATTTGTTTGAGACGTGGCAACAAAGGCCGAAACAAAATCAAAAATGCAGAAAGCGGAAAGAGAGAGATGCATGACAGAGGCGGGTTAACGTGTCAGAGGTGTGTTAACGTGACAGAGGTGGAGAGCATGTCAGAGGCAGAAAGAAAGAAAAGAGGAAATGTACGCGTGACAGAGGAGTGTTATCGTGTCAGAGGCGGAAAGAAAGAAAAGAATGTACGCGTGACAGAGGAGTATGATCATGTCAGAGGCGGCTGCATGTTGCAGGCTTGGCGGGATACCAGCAGGAGCGCTGTACTGGGGCGAGGCGTGCCGACTGAGGCGGGGACAGATGGAGGCGAGCGCAGCTCCATGGGGTCCGGTGCCGGGCGTGTGCCTGCGTGCGTGCACAGTGAGTGAGCTGGTACGACGGGTGGAGGTGGCCAATTTCCAGCTTGAGGCCAGGACGAAGACGACTGGACGAAGTGCCGTGGCAGGATAGCGGGGTATCCAGGTGGGCCGGGAGGGTGGCAGGGGCCACAGCAGCTCCGAGGCGGATCCAGTGACGAGTGGTGGTGAGGCTCAAGTTTTACGTCAACAGCCGGCGATTGACGGGATCCCGAGAGTTGAGGCGAGCAGGAAACTGCGGCGGGCCGAGCTCAGGGATGGCATGCTCAAAACTCCGAAGAGCGCAGCGTCGGGGGTCACCAATTTAGGGTTTTACGTCGGGCCCTAGACGACGGCTACTTTGGCCAACCGGACAACGAAGAAGTTGTGACCAAAGAGAATGATTTTATTTCTTGCACATGCGTTTGTAGAATGACGTAATAGTCAGTGAGTCAGGTCGCTACAGGCTTGTCCACAAAATGTTTTCAATTATTTTTGAATTTTGGTTGGATTTTCGCACTTTGAATTTTTTTGGAATTTTGGCCCCATCAGGATTGAATTTTGGCCGTTTTTGGAGAACGACAGTGCTGTCACATCTGGAGAGTACATGTGCTGCTCATTATATTACCAAGTTTGACATGTGAAAACAGTACTTTCAAATACACACCTTTGATCTTTGACCTTTTGACACCCATCCCCGAATTTGGAAGCACACAGACACACATGATAAAAGCAGTTTGTGGATTTATTTTAATTTTTTGCTTTTTTTGGAACTATTGAGTACGAGCGCGTACGAGTACTGTAAAAACCATGGCAACGGATCGAATTTTTTCTGCATTTTGGGGGATTTTTTGAATTTTCTTAAAACATTTTGACTGTTTTTTTCGCTTTTTGAATTTCAATTTTGGACAAAATAATTCGCATGATGTGGCCACCCTTACCTGAAATACACGAACCCAGCAGTGTTGCTCCGTACTGACTGGTTCATGAAAATCCAAAAGGGTACCCTTTTACTAACGGTACCTGAGATTAACGGTCGGGTACCCGGGTACCCGGTACACCCCTTTGACCCCTACATTTTAGCCATGATGTAATGTGTTCTTAGACATTAGGTAATGCATTTTAGCCATGATGTAATGTGTTCTTAGACATTAGGTAATGCATTTTAGCCATGATGTAATGTGCTCTTAGACATTGGGTAATGGGTGGTGCTGTGGCTGGCTATTTCTTTTCCCTTCTTTCCAAGTTTTCCTAAACTCACAGAGTTTTAAGTCCGTCTGTGTGCCAGCAAACACACATGCTCCACTGGTGTGTGCGTGCGTGCGTGCGTGTGTGTGTGTATGTATGTGTGTGTGCATGCGTGCGTGCATGTGTGTGTCTGTGTCTGGTGTGTGTGTGTGCGTGCGTGCGTGTGTGAGTGCGTGTGTGTGTCAGTGTGTCTGTGTGACTGTGAGCTGTCTAGAGACGTGGAACAATATAATTTATTATCTCTCAACGGAAGTGTCCTTGCTGGTGCCTGTATGGTTCGGCTGAGAGCGCGTGGTTGTGATGAGTTGGGAATGTGTGACTGTCGGGATGGTTATCCAGCATGTCCTGCATCCCTTGACATGCTCTGTTCTCGTATCTTCTCTGCTCTCACCTCAGGAAGAAGCTGTCAGTCAGCACAAGCTACTGAACATGATCATCCTGCCGGTGACTATTGCAGTCAATGCTTTCACAGGTGTTGGTTTCTCTTCTTTCATCTACTTTGGAGAGAAATGGTTCTCCAAGGTTAGTCACCCTGCATAGGCCCAGGCGGATAATGGTAGCACTATATCTAGCATAATTAGCACTTTCTGGAAACTAGCACTGCGCTGGCATGATCCGGCAAGTTTTGCAGAAAACTAGCATATTCTTGTGAAAACTAGCATATTCTTGTAAAAACTAGCATATTATTGCAAAATATGGGATTTTTGCAGTTAATGCCTTCACAGGTGTAGGTTTCTCTTTTCTCATCTACTAGTACTTTGGAGAGAAATGGTTCTTTGAGGTTAGTCACCATGCTGCATGCAGCATGCAGCATGGCGCTGATTGTGCTGTATACTGAACTCAGTGAATGAGATTTTAGGTCTGTGACTATACTTTGCTGCGTCTGATCTCCTCACCTCCCACCGCTTTAGGAGCTGCATCTGCGCCTTGATCCTTGAAGGGTGGTGGCGTTCCTACGGACGCGGAAAACTCGGCCTCTAGCCGAGTCTGACGCGAACCGTGAATGTTTTTGGGCTCAGGGGTCTCTCGAGTCGTTTTAACATTTTCATGTTGGTCTTAGATTTTAGTGGATGGTTTTTGTTGTTGTGTGTGTATGTGTGTGTGTGTGTGTGTGTGTGTGTGTGTGTGTGTGTGTGTGTGTGTGTGTGTGTGTGTGTGTGTGTGTGTGTCTGTCTCTCTGACTGTCTGTCTGTCTCTCTGACTGTCTGTCTTCTCTGTCTGTCTGTCCGTCTGTCCGTCTGTCTGTCTGTCTGTCTGTCTGGGGTATGGGAGTGTGCGTGCACGTATATGCCGACTTCCTTACACGGTTCTATACCTGTTTTCGCACCGTGCACAGGTGTTTGTCAGTATGCCGTACTCGCGTATGCGTGAGAAAGAAGCTGATGATTTGGGCATGGAAATGGCGGCCAGGGTAAGACTTTTCACACTGCCACTTGACTGGAAAACACCTAGCCCTGGTATCAGGAGCTTGGCATTGTAATTTGTACACTGCACTGACAGTTGACCCCCATGAAACTACCACGCATAAGATGATACCTGGGAAAGCAGAGATGTGTGTGTGTGTGTGTGTGTGTATGTGTGTGTGTATGTGTGTGTGTATGTGTGTGTGTATGTGTGTATGTGTGTATGTGTGTGTTTGTGTGTGTGTGTGTGTGTGTGTGTGTGTGTGTGTGTGTGTGTGTGTGTGTTGGGGGTTTGTGTGTGTGTGTGTGTGTGTGTGTGTGTGTGTTGGGGGTCTGTATGCTCTTCATCATGTCTTGCTTTGCCCCGTTCTTGTTCTTGCTGCTGCTGCTGTTGTTCGTCCTGTGCCGCTGTCATTACTGCTGCTGCTGATGATGATAATAATGTCTTTTTGCTGCTGTTTCCACTTTTGTCTCTCTCGCTGCTGTCTTCGTCACAGGCATGCTTTGACATGCGCAATGCACCTGAGTTTTTCTCGCGCATATCCGAGATCCCAGAGGATATGGAGTGGCTGTCCACGCATCCGACCGGGGAGCACAGGAGACAGGCGCTGACGAATCGTCTCACAGAGGTACGGTACAGCGGCTACTTAAGCCTGACCCAATCATGGGCAGGCAGTATAATAATTTCACGACAGCTTCAGAAACTGCCAACTTCGTCACTAGAACATAAAGATAAACGTCGAATGACTTCGTCTCCAGTGTTTTCACGAAACGAACGTGCCTGGTCTGTTGCACATGATCAACTATGTTGAGCAGATGCAAATAAAAGTAATGTGCAAGAATAATCAGCATGTGATTTAGAGCATATTGACATACATACGAGTCGGTGCATGGGGCTGCATTTGATTAGAAGTTCTGGATAATTCGAAGTTGGAGCCTGGAAAACTTAGGTTCCGAATTAAAGGTAGTCTACCTGTAATAATTATATATAATAATATGTGATTGAGATTGAGTATTTCGCTCCTGCTCTTGTAGCAGTTGAGCACTCTTGCGTGGGGTAGTGCCTTTGCTGTTTGCGTTATGCAGAGCTCACTGACTTGTCAGTTTGAGCACTCTGGCAAGGTACGTTCGGGCCTGATTGGAAATTTTTATTTCCATTGCTATCAGGTTCGGCCTCATTTCCTCTGTGCTGCGCTGACGAGTCCACAAAGGACGAAACAGTTCTGTCCGCAGATTGAGTATAATAATATATGTAATAATAGTAGTACACACTAGTCAGAACAACAGATGGCCTGATCAGTCACAACTTAAATTTCATGCCATCTCAGTCACTCATCAGGTGATATGAACATCAAGAAAATAACCCACCATTTAAAGCCCAGTATGGCGGAACAAGGATAACAGAAAGCGCTAGGGGCGCTGTCAACTCATATCCGATTCTGCTGGGATTGACAACTGTGTGTAATAATAGTAGTACATGTATAATGAGGACGTACGAACATAATGCGTGCCCAAGGCTTGGAAGCCTCCGCCTCATTGTGTAACAGTGGTATTGTTCCCGTAGCTATGCAAAAGACGTTACTTCAGTAGCGTCTGGCGCTAGCCAGGGTCCACATAGCTTTAATTCCGTGTTTGTTTGTTTGTGCTATCGGCATGCCTGGCGCTATCCCGTCTCGTACCGTACCATCAAATACATCAATACAGTGTTGTACGGTATAAGGATGTCGTTTAGCATGTCGTACAGCAGTACGATGAAATAGTGGGAGAAACCAGCGACCACTTGGGCACGATGAACATTACAACAGTCTTATTGTGAGTGAGAGTCAGGCCAAGTTTCTGAAGATCAGTAGCGAGTGCTACTAGTATCCCGAGCATTAGGTTAGCATTACAAAAGCATAGACAGGATGCGTATTAAAGGAGACCCAAGTTGCTGAAGATCAGTATTCATTGCTGATAACGCGCAGAAAAACTAAATCCGCAGCCTCTTTTGCCATCGGACAGGATGCGTATTATAGGAGACTGTAAAGTTATGTAATGTGCTCCACAGGCAACCATGCATTCGGCCGTCAGCAACAGTTAAGCACAAGCACACTATCAAGGCAAGGACAATATTGTATATAACTTTACCTCATTGGCTCAGCAGGTCAATGTATTACTACAAAAAGGCCAGGAAATCCGATTATGAGGGGCAGTTCTAATAACATGCATAATGAGCTAGGCAAAAAAGCATAGCGTAGTGCCCTGAGCTTCCAAGCTCTCTCGTATACAGTGGCTGTGTGTGTGCACACATCCAGTGACATCCCGGACTTGACTGTCCATGTTTCCCTTGTCCTGTGCTCTCTTTTACAGATGATGGAGATAACTCGTGAAGAATGCGCCGGTGAGTGAGAAGCCCACATTTACCGAGCTTTGGAAGCTGTGTGTGTATGAGTGTGTGGCTCTCTCTCTCTCTCTCTCTCTCTCTCTCTCTCTCTCTCTCTCTCTCTCTCTCTCTCTCTCTCTCTCTCTCTCTCTCTCTCTCTCTCTCTCTCTCTCTCTCTCTCTCTCTCTCTCTCTCTCTCTCTCTCTCTCTCTCTCTCTCTCTCTCTCTCTCTCTCTGCCTCTTTCTTTCTTAGTCTCCTTGCTCTTCTTTCACTCGCCTGGGTGGCTACCATCAGCCAGTGCTGGTGGTATGTGGTGGTGTGCTGTGTGCGCATGTCAAAAAATGAAGAAATAATAGGTATCTGCTGGCCAGAAACCCCCCACCTCAGCTAGCTGTGTGGTGGAAGACCAGATAAAAAAAATACTAAAATAATGGAGGTCAGTTCGTTAGCCTTACAACAGTAAATAGGTTGTAATCCCAGCTCAAGTTGCTGCCTCACATTACTTGTTCTCTCCATTGCTTCGTCTGTGTGTCTGTGTGTGTGTGTGCGCGCGCGCGCTCACGTGCATGCATGTGTTCGTTGGCATTATGGGTGTGTGTTGTGTTCACTTCTATCTATGGACCCTTATTTTGCTCAGACCTATCCGCCCGCTTATTTGTATCTATGTTGTTTCTGCTTCTGCCGATGGCTTTCAACAGGGTATTCTAAGTGGTTCAACCGCACCGTTCTCCGGCAGTCGACTGGCGTAGGGATGAAGAAGTGAGTGTTAGCAGTTACAGTCCATTTCAAAACTATATACGCGCAGTGTTTTTGAAATATTTCAAATTTGGCTGGACCTTTTTGAGAATAGTTTTCGGAATATTGCTCAGGTCCGCTCCACAATTACTCTCATATAGTTTCTAAACGATTGGATAACAGACGCCCAATTTGGAAAAAATTTATGCACAAAGTGATCACAGATTTTATGTGGTATAGATGCTGGCATAACGGTTTTTGCCTAGGTACGCGTCTATAGTTTTGAAATGGACTGTAGGACATGTTACTTGCTCTTCTCTGCACTAGGCAATGCCCCGAGCCCTGCAGTGTGCATGGTACGATGGCTAATGTACAGTCACAACCGCTTACTCGTAGTACGTACACCATGGTACACGGTGTAAGATGTACTATTGTTTAGTACGTACTTTTTGCAGTTGACGAAACATTTGGCACACTCAATTGCAGCGCGGGTGTAGTAACTTGTACGTACTTTGGCTAGGACAGTACTTTTGTCGTGTTCCCTTGTGGGTACTGTACATATACAAATTTTCGGCAGCTATTTAATTTCGGCTATATTCGGCACCGACCCCAAACGCCTAAATTAAAACGCCGATGAAATTTTTCACAGCATCTGTCGCACTATACCATGCCCTCTACCCCACGCCGAAAATAAATCGCCGCCGAAATGTCAAAAATCGTGAAGTGCCGAAATTTTGTATATTTACAGTACGCCTTATAAAGTTTTCACTGTACTAGTGCTCTTTATCCGAGGTAGAATGGCTGACAACGAATTTTTTAAAGAAAAGGGCCAACAGAGCTTGGTGGAGCTACCATTGAAGTACTGGAAGCTATGTAAATATTACTTGTACGAGGAAGTAAAATTGAACGTTTTAATGAGTGACATTTTTCACAAAGATGATTCAAGGGTGAGAAAACGAAGTAAGGTGGATCCTGGTACATATACCCCAGCAATGCCCATCACATCATTCTGGCATGTACTCCTATTAGAGACGTGTCCGTTATATTTTCGCTCCATTCTCAACATGCACTACCGTAAACGTCCGTAAATAGTGAGGTTTTGCATTCCGAATTTCGGTACAGCGTTCTTCGGTCATTTGTCGAACATCAAAATGTCGAATTTTCGCACCAACGTTTGTTTTGCAAGTCGAAAATGATGTGTTTTCATTTCGTGAGCCCCAGCATCAGCAACGTCCTGTCCCGTGCTCCTTTTCTTGCAGATTCCAACGAACTTTGATCGCCCAAAGAGTCGAGGGCCAAACCTGCCTCCTCAGTCGCCTCAGAAAAACCAACTCCATGGCCAAGTCAAATTTTATGCGTGTCGCCATAGTCTTCTCAGCCACACAGATGACGGTGAGGACACTCCAGGCGAAAGAGAGTCGACAGGCAGTGGAGAGGAGCAATCAGAGGTAGCTGACGATGCTATGTCGCCAAAGACGCCTGCCAAGCGATGCCGAGATAAGAAACCTCGTTGAATAAATCACGCGCTAGCGCTCTTCTACAAGAAAATGCATCCGAAAAATATTTTCGGCAAAGTGAGCTTTTTCCGAACAAACACGCCGAATCTTCGTGTGCATTTTCGCCCTCGCTCCCGCGTGCCGAATCTTTTTGCCGAATTTCGGAATGCAAAACCTCACTAATAAGTATGTATTTACTTTTGAATTTAGTGACCACACCCGTACTAACTTTCGGGCACGAACTAACTTTCGGACCTGACTAGTGTGTGGTGGAGAAGTCATTTTCATGTCGATGTACATGCTACGTGCTGCATGTGCGCATCGTACCGGTACTTATTTCGGGCGGTACGTTTATCGGGCTTGACTTGACTTCAACAGACAGAGCCTAAAGAATGAAGGCGGTATTTCTTTCGGGCAGCTACTGTAAACCGTGAAATTACTGCCATGGTCTAATTTCTGCGAAATTCGCGACCGCGTGGAAATCGCGAAATTTAGACAGCGCGAAAAGGAGATCCATAAAAGGTTTAGCATGAATGCCGCAGTAGCAAATTCTGCAATCGCAAAATTAAAACCTCGCAAACCTGTCCAGATTCTGAAAACGCGAACTAAAAACTAAAAACGCTGTGAAAATTTCACCCTTTACAGTACTTATTTAGGGACTTTTACGGTAGTATTGGAGACGTGCTGCACTGCTGCTCAGTGAAATCCAGTCACGTCACTCAAGTTTGCGCCTTGCATCATTTCGCAGCCCAGTGTTCGCAGGTCCGGGGCTGCGCAATGCCCGACGTGTACTTGAGTGACTCGACTGGATTTCATTGAGCGGTACTGTGTGTGTGTGTGTGTGCGTGCGTGCGTGTGTGTGTAGTATTGGAGAAGTACTAGTATAGGAGAAGTACTAGTATTGGAGAAGTACTAGTATAGGAGAAGTGTACAATTTCTTGGGGAAGTACGGTACATGTAGTAGCATTCATTAAGGTTTCTCGTGCTGTATGTTCTCTGCTCACCCTTCCCAGCCAATCTCATTTACCGGGTTCTGGAAAGCAGCAAAGCTCAGCGGAGCAGCCTACGACATCACCAACGACATCATCGACGACATCATCATCACCGCCGCCGTCAGCACAGACAACTAGCCCACCAGTAGACCTAGTGAAGACAACACCTGGTCACTCCGAGCAAGAAGCGCCACCGACACAAGCACCAGCAACCCTGCCAGCGCCAGCGCAAGCCCACACGCAAAAGCCAGCACAGCGTTCGCAGCAACAGCAGCCGGCCACGGTGCACCCTGGTAATGCGCCGAGCGTGCGTTCCATGTCGGCGTCCTCTCTGACCGCAATTCCGCCGTCAACGAAGATCATGGTGAAGACCACGACAGCATCGTCAACACCGTCGTCACCGTGAACTGTGTCGCTAGTCGTACCCGTCTTGACTTTAGTATCCATCATGTCTGACTACGGGGCTCTCTCTCTCTTTTTCTCTCTCTCTCTCTTTTTCTCTCTCTCTCTTCTCTCTCTCTCTCTCTCTCTCTCTCTCTCTCTCTCTCTCTCTCTCTCTCTCTCTCTCTCTCTCTCTCTCTCTCTCTCTCTCTCTCTCTCTCGCTATCTCGCTATCATTTTCATATCAGTATGTACTGGCTGGTGAACACAGGGATTTGGTTGGTCGACACCGACTTATGACGCCGACTCCACTGGAAGTATGCTTCAGGTACGACTCCCTACCCAGCAGCCCATACTGCGCAGCCTCCTAGTCATATCAACATTGATCTTTACATTTCGTCCTCGCCACCCAGTGCATGTGACGTGTAGCATTCCCTGTGTCTAGTATGCCGTGTTGTGCAGCAAGAAACTGATCACATGACCTAGGGATGTGTAGCATTCCCTGTGTCTAGTATGCCGTGCTGTGCAGCAAGAAACTGATCACATGACCTAGGGATGTGTAGCATTCCCTGTGTCTAGTATGCCGTGCTGTGCAGCAAGAAACTGATCACATGACCTAGGGATGTGTAGCATTCCCTGTGTTAGTATGCCGTGCTGTGCAGCAAGAAACTGATCACATGACCTAGGGATGTGTAGCATTCCCTGTGTCTAGTATGCCGTGTTGTGCAGCAAGAAACTGATCACATGACCTAGGGATGTGTAGCATTCCCTGTGTCTAGTATGCCGTGTTGTGCAGCAAGAAACTGATCACATGACCTAGGGATGTGTAGCATTCCCTGTGTCTAGTATGCCGTGTTGTGGAGCAAGAAACTGATCACATGACCTAGGGATGTGTAGCATTCCCTGTGTCTAGTACGCCGTGTTGTGCAGCAAGAAACTGATCACATGACCTGGGGATGTATATGTGTAGGAGGACTAGAATGTCTTTTTTTAATTTTATTACAGGGCTTCCACCCTGACCATCTTGTCATCCAACTTTACGCAATTAAATTTTAGTTTTGTTGTCGTTGTCGTCGTTGTTGTCGTTGTTGGCCACAGTCTGGTCTATTCAATTATGTGTGTGTGTACATGTGTGTGTGTGTATGTGTGTGCGTGTGTGTGTGCGCGCACGTGTGTGTATGTGCATGTGTGCGTGTGTTCATCACGGTGCCTATCTTGTACATATCCCCCAGATGTGGTCCGACCCGGGACACTGAATACTTTTTATTACTTTTCGACAATTTTTCTCTGCCCTGATATCCCCCCCCCCCCCCCAACTGATCATGACTTAATGGACTATCTGATACATATCTCCTTGTGAACGTCGCCATCCGCTTATATTCTCAGCTACTCAATGCACAGACGGTGCAGTGTACATATTATAGTCTTGCAAAATTTGCCTTTGTCCATTTCTTTTTAGGTGTTTCCCATATCCAGCTTTGTTTTTTTGTTATTATTATTGTATCATTTCAAATGGTGAACGGTACTATTCGGCCAATAAAATGTAAAGAACTCTTCCTCTCCTCTCCTCCATGCGCTCTCACAGCCGACTCACTGCTACCCTCAGTACTTACACACACCAACCAAGGAATCAGTTGCCCTGTTGGAATAGCTGTGTGTGTGTTTTTAGAACTTTTTTGTATTCAAGTGAAATGCTAATATTTCAATTATATTTGTGTCAGAACGGTTTCTCCTCTTCACCGGTTCAGGCGTTGCCGGTATCTGGATACGTTGGTGCACGTGTTTGTACGTGTGCGTGCATGTGTATGGTGTGTGTATCCTGACCTGTGTTACCTTGTCGTCAGGAGCGTGCGCTTGGAATGCTGTCGAGACGTCTTGCTCGGAGCTCTTGCTTGAAACTGCTGCCTTCCTGCACGAGTGTGGGTTGTGTTGTTTTCTGCAAACCGGTAGTATGCCGGTTGTACCAGTGAGTCGTAAAATAACGACTGCCTGGATCATGTGACATCCTGCTATAAGAAGTAATTAGTTTGAATGTTTGTGTTGGGTCTGTATTATCAAGACTCGGTACAGAATGGTTATGTACTCTTGGTATCATGTAGGGTAGAAGAGAAAGCTATCGTCCTGGGCTAACAAGTAGCGTGTCTAGTCGATTGGATAAGTGTTTGTTCATTTGTGTCTGAATGGTGCACATGGCTCTAGTTCCTCTGTCCTGGGTTCAAACCTGGTGATCTGATTTTTTTATGATGAAATCTTGACTTCGGGCAAGACCAGAATGCAAGTGTTTAAGATTTGTGTAGGAGGGGACGTGGGCATTGGGCAAAGGGAGGCAGCCTGTGATAGCTACCGGTATCTGTGCATGGTGCGATGACTGTGTTATGCATATTCCTGTTGTGCTGTTGACTTGCCATACCAGTTGACCTTGTGGTGTTTGCACAGAGAGAGAGGGAGCAGCTAGAGCCATTGGAGACTGGGTCAGGGCTGGTACAATGCATGTATGGCAATGACAGGGGGAGAAAAGCAAGAGGCCGG